GTCTTGACAAGCCAAAAGACAACACTTAGCATTTTACCCAGCAGCGAGAGAAAATCAGACAAAAAGTTTACACCTTAATCTTCAGCAAATGAAAATGACTCGTCAAGTTCTGTGCTCCAGGTGTTTTTATGGATTTCCATAAAAATCTCCATACATGAACATGAGTGACAAAATTTGGCAACATTAAGGAAGGTAGTAAGGTAGAAATCTGACTCCTGCCTCAGAGGCTTGCACATCATGGGACAGTCTGCCTTATCACATCCTCTAGCTTCACTAGAATTTTTAAATGTGGATTTCTTTATTACAGTAGCATCACTTTATTAAACATCAACATACCTCTACACCTATCAAAATATCTATACGTGAGAATATCCTGAAACATGTCAAAATATCACTGCTCTGTTTCAGAACATCTAGAGATATGGTAAAGTGCCCATTTCACATATATTTTGGGTTACTTCCATTTAGTTCAGAAAACTGTTCTAATTCATATGTCTGCCATATGAGAGCCATGATTCAAATCCTGCAATGTTATGACTCCAGTGATGAGTTTTTTCTGTGCAGCCCTACTGAGAAATTGAAAGAGTTAATTTAATATAACATATTCCAAAGTGGGTGCTGCTTTACCAGTTCAAGACAGAAACAATGTCATTCCCTCGGTTTGTTTAAGGCCTGATTCAGACCTTTGATTATTCAAATCACATACTCATAGCCTCCGAAACCTGCTTTGAATCATCACATTTTCTTGAGCCACTGGAGAGCTTGACCTGTTATTCTGAAACTGTGGCTGAAAACAAATTTCAGCCAAAAGCTGGATAAACAGTTATTTATCCGTGTCACAGTAACTCCGGACACAGCCAAGCTTAGCATGGAACTGAACAGAAAAATACTGTGCTCCTATAATCATTCAAAAGTGCTTATGTGAAGGGAGAGAAGTAGTTAAGTTCCTAAAGCATGTTGAAGGAATATCATGCTACTCAGTGACCCCTGTGTAGAGCTGTGGCTCCTGGGCTGGAGAGCATTTCCTGGACTAAGGTTTGCATGGGACTGGAATTTCTGATGCTGCTGAGTCCGGGTGGAACCATGATGCTGCTAAGGAGGCTTTCACTCCGTGTGAGACCAAATGCTGCCCCTAAGAACTTGCAGGAGTGCTCAGCCTAGCAGAGCAACAAGTTCAACTCTTATTTTTGCAAAACACATCAAGCTGGGACAGAGGAGGATGGAGACATGAGTCCTGCTTAAATGCTGTTTAGCTCTTCAGGTTTTTTACCAGTACTGTGTGTTTTATGGTATTATGCAAATATACACATAAATAACATGTACATTCATACCCCCACAGACACTCAACTTCAAGAAGTTCTTGAACTTAACTAAAAATGACCTCAGGACTTCAGAGATTTATTTCATGTGTAGGAAATCAAAAGAAAATACCTCAAAGCTTCATTGTACCTGAATAAACAAGAAGGTGTGAAATGCTTACGCTGAATTTGTGTGGCACAAACATGCATGACAATGACTCGAATCTTGGAGGGCTACTGTAGAGTAGTTCTAGAGATTTTTTAGTTTTACTTTTTTTTCCAGTACCTGCTGTAGGTGCTGGAAAACTCCAAATAGAAAATAAACATCTTGGCAAACATGATTCCAGAGATAGTCAGTACTAAAGCAGCGCGCAGATCCTCAGGATTTCAATGTCAACACTGGTTTTCTCTACAGTAGAGTTATTCTGGTTTTCTGGCATAACAGCCTTCTTACAAACAAGACAAATGCCAGAATAATTTGCACTTTAAGAGTGATATACAACATATAAAAAACCAACCTCTCCGGATCTCTGTACTGTTGAACATTCTACTGCAAATATTAGATGTTGAGGTGGATGTGCTGCAGAAGTACCAGTAAAGGTCTGTTCCATAATGGCCTGAAAGAAGCTCTGCCTGTTCACAGTCCAGGCAGCACTTTGCACTTTTTCATTCAAGCGTTCTCATGAAATGTACAGAACTTTTAAGTTCAATATCCTGAAATATGAGCAGCTTCTGAAGTTGCAGCTTAGGAACACATTTTTAATCCTGCTAAAGCAGAGCCTACCCTACGTGATACAATGCAGCTAACCTCAAGTCTAGCCAAAAAAATCACTGAAGCTGTGGAAATCTTTTACATGACATAAAGATGATGAACACCATTGTAGCTGTGGTAGACTCCAGACCCATGTTGTTAATGACTACACAGCACATGTTTATGCAGTGACACAAAAGCAATTCATCAGCCCTCCCTGGATTTGACTGAATGGCTCAGTAGGCTTGGTGTGAATTTTATAATTTGTTGTTGCTTTTGAAACGTTTTTCCTGAGATAGAGAAAGAAAGCAGGAGATTGAGGAGCTCTGAGAAGCATTTCTCATCTCCACAGAGAAAGAGACAGTCTCCTTCTAACACACCCAAGGCCTGGGTAGTCACTGGTGTCCACACATTCCTTACTGAGGCACAAATCCTGCTATCATAGATCAACACCTAAAACATATTCCACTCTCCAGAGCTACACATGAATTATTGCTGAGCTTAGAAGAGTTCCTGCATTTGTTTATACAGTAGCTTCACTTTGCCACTACCATCGCAGCTATATTTCTCTTGAGGTATTTCAGATATGAAACTTGCCTTGCAAAATCAATCCTTTTTATTTTACAGGCCTGAAAGTGAAGATTATATGTCCATTAACTTTGTCATGCATCTCACCTACTGTCCAAACAAAAAGGCCATTTCTCATTCTCAGACTAAAGTTTTTCTAAGTACTTTTGATTTGAGCATCTTGACTGTGATTTACCATTACCATTAAATGTAATTCCATTCTTACAGTGTGAAGTAAAAGAAATCCTTACTCAACAAAAGGCTCCTTCATTATGTTTAAATATGTACTTTCCATTATTTCAATAACAATTATTCATCAGGGTGAATCAAAAACAAACTGCAAAACTGGATTACCATAGTTAGATTTAACCTGAAATATCCTGAATCTGATACTCTATCAACAGAGAAACAGCTTGGTTAGAGCACTCCTTTATTTTTTATGTAGGTGAGACCACAGAAATGAATTCATTATGTACACAATCATATCTGACAAGACTTAGAATGGGGAATGTACACAGCTGGGAGAATTCATATCCAACAAAATATATAAGCAGTTGAATAAATGTTCTCCCATCACCTCACTGTTTCAAAACACTTGGTTCTCTCTCTGATGATCACCCTCTCTCAGATATAACCTGGAATATATTTAGTCCAGAATGTCTGCTTTCACTTTTTGCCTTCTAAAAATGCATATTTGGCAGAGTGTAAAACACAGACTTCTATGAAAATTTTTATTAATCTAAGTAATATCAGTAGTTTTTTAAAATGTTATGATAACCTAAATACAGGGAAAGTGAGTTCTACAGCGACTTTTACTAAACTAAATACAAGAATCAGATCGATGAGATCTCTAGCCTAGGAACTCTTCAATTTTTCCAATTCTGTTAGCTGGTCTTAAAAACCAGGAAGTCCTCGAGGTTATAGTTCCTGTAAATCCTTTGACTACCATGGTTACAACAACCCTATTACTACAATGTGGATTAATGATGCATTTAACCAGTGACACCTTGCTGCACTTCAAATATCCAAAAGTGCATTCTTTCTCCATTGACCACATATAACAGTTGATTTAACAGTAAGCATCTGAACTGAAGTGGGCTTTCATTTTCCAGTGGACTTTGAAGCCAACTGGAATCCATTCAATGACTGGAATGGGACAAAATTCATGGAGGTATTTCATTAGCGTGAGGAGTCCCATTGGGTAAAACTTTACTAAATCAGGCTTCCATAGCCTGTCCCACAGTCCTGATTCTCCTGTTATTTAACAGAAACAAGAGGCTGCAAATAACACAAACACAAGCTTCAATCTGACTTGAAGCTAGAACATAGCCTAAAGTGCACAGCCATGCTCCAGGATACAATTCCCAGTTCCTCAGGTTATGCATCCTTAAGAAACATACGTGGTTAAATCAGCTTAGTAGAGATGATGGCTTTCATTTTCTGATGATTTCACCAATCTTTGTTTTCAAGTTCTAATTCTTACAGCTTTGGCCCTGAGCATCACAGCAGCTCTCAGGGTTATTACCTCTTCAGAACCAAGTCTTTCAGTAATGTGAATGAAGTTGCACAATGAACCTCAGAAATCTTTCTTAGGCATAGACTGATAAAAATTAGAAATATAAACCCCAAAAATCAAAAAAGAAATATATATATATTCCTTCAGTATATTAGAAGTTAGTAATTAATTATTTTTAATACCAAGAATAATGTAATCACAAGAAAAGGCGTTTGCCTAGCCCTATGAGCATTCACCACCAGCAAAATTACTTAAATAAAAAGGAAAAAAAAAGATAAAAGTGTACACAAAATTAGCACGAGAATTAGCAATCAATTGTAGTTCATACAAGGTTCTTAGCAGATAGCATCATGTTTATTAATAAATTATGAACTGCTTAGTGGAGTTTTTGCTTAGTGATATCACTATAATAACAGACACATGTTTTATTTATGTTTCAAGTTACATCCAAAATAAGCAAGACATTCACTGTCACATTGTCTCAAATATCTGAAGACTCTTTACCCCAAATTTAAACTTTCATTGATCTACATGAGATAGCACTCCATGAAAACCAAGGGGAATAATACGAGAACTTCAGTCACTGTGCTCATCTTTGGGGATTTTGTTCCTGTGATACAACAAAGCCAAAAACTGCATTTCTTCAAGCTGGCTGCACTTTTCTCATAAGGATGGTATTTTTTTTTCTCTGTGGGATACAGTGCTATTTGTGCAGCAGATTGTATTTTGACAGATGCAACTGTATCATAAAAGGCCCTTAGCACTATCAGACTGGTAGCTCACAAACGTTCATGAGCTCCAGGATTTCTTAAAAAACCCCAAGAATTAAAACGTTTTTGAGAATGTAAAATGCCTGAAAGCCACTTACCTCCCCCACACCAGTCTGCAGAATTTTCAGTCCAGTTGTTTTCTCAAGCTTCTCTTTGTTTATGGCTGTAAGGAAAAATTAAGATTGAAAGAGTTACAGGAAATCTGGAATATGTATGATTTTACAGCATTTGCAACTAGCCTTCTTTCCTTCATCAATATATTCATGACAGTTCCTACCTCTGTCATCTGCGGAATATCTTTCCCTGAGAGCAGCTCTGCTAGTCAGTATTCTAAACACATATTTTTGCTATTAATTGTTCATTATTACATGAAAAAGAAAGCCAAGCTAATTCTGTGTCCCTTGTAAACACAGTATCACACACATTTAACACATATACATAATATACCTGGAAAGTTCTCTTTGGTGGAAACTTCCCACTGCCTCCCTTGCATTGAAGAGCAGGGCAGAACCTTTGCCATTACAACAGAACTGTCACTGTGTAGGCAATTTCACAACAAATACAGACTCTTATCTAGCAGGTAAGATGAAGAGTTTATTTCACAACACCAGGATGCAGTGGACAATTTTGTCTTTTTTTCTTTTTTTAAATTTAGTTTTTTTCACATTTATCAGCTTCTATATCATAAAAGCATTAAAAACCAAACTAAAGTAATCCAACATAAAACAGCTAAATAAAGGTAGCAATCACTATGACTACAACTATACTTGCAACTCAAACATGCCCAGGGCATGAACTTGAGCACTGCTGTATGATTGCCAATACTTTTAAATCTATGGTCTTCACAGGATTTCTGCCTTTGACCATTTGTAGCCTCACAAAACAATATGTTGTTCCCAACCACAGTTTTGGGAACAGCACAAGGCTGAGATTATTCCTAGCTGGGAGTATAGGTAGTCTCATCCCATTTTGGATGGGAAGACTTCAACCTTCTAGTCAGCCAGACTTGTGGTCAAAACCCAGGCACCTGAGATGACTTATTCATGAGTAGAAATGGAGCCCTGCAGCCTTGTTAACCTCTCCTTCCTTTAGCTGCCTAGTCACTGACTGTGTAATCCAAGTGAGTCATCCAGGTTCTCTCTGCAGTCCTTGGAAAGGGATGGACTTTTAATACAGTGAGTCATCCCACATATTTTACACACATCTGCAGGCACCTACATCTTTGATTACAGAAAAAATTTGGATAGATTCGGCTTCTCAGCTGAAGTTGCCTAAAGGAAACCTCCTTACCAGAAAGTTCAAGAAGTGTGCTAGAACATATCATGCACTGTAAATTTACATAAAAATACTTAAAGGAATTACCATATTTTCCTTCATTTGTAGAAAATACTCTTTAATTGTTGCCATTTGAAATATTAAAAACAGCTCAAATTGCAGCAGATGAGAAGCAAGATTATTGTGAACTGATACTTTATTTAGTTTGTCCAAAGTGCAACACAAATGACTCACACTTGTTTCAGAGGTGAGTTGGATAATTAGACTCCATCTCACCTCTCACTGAGAGATTTTGGTAAGAGTTTGTTTGTGCAAAGACTCAAAAAGTTAAACCTCAAGCAATTCTAATACAGAGAAACCTTTCTGACTGCCTTCAGCAAGGGATGAATATTGCCCTCCATTTAAATGAAGAGGAAAGTACTGTATACCTTTTAGACCCACACATCTTTATTTTTGCTTCTCTTAAATATGCTACTGGTTAAGCAGAGGGGAACATGCAGTCCCAAGCTAAGAAAGCTTAAATGCATGTTTTCCAGCCTAAATACTGCATACAATACTCACATACTTAACACCTATGCCATACTTTACACATTCACGTATTTATTCTACTCAGAGTCACCACATGAGAAGGAGAATTGCCTGAACCAGGAGATTTGACACTATGTTTTGCAGTGTTGTATATGTTGGATAGTACAAATTTCAGAAAAAGAAAGTAAATATTTGGCAAGAAGCTGGATTTTCAGCCTTGAGATAGGCTCTGGAGGACATTATTTCACTGATGGCTGCAGACTTGCCTGCAGATTTCATTGCAAAGGGGTGCCATGCTACCACACTGACTGCCTCACACCCAGCATACACACTAGAGGCAGATTTCTACCAAGTGCAAAATTTTAGAAGATTTATAAAATGAAAAAGCTCCACAGCCTCCTTCAAAGAAACTGAATGGTCCAATAAATGATTCTTTGGTAGCTTAGGATAAAGAAAACTGCACAGCAGAGTGGCTGCAAAATAAATGGGCATAAGCAAACAAAAAGGCTTAAATCCCACTGTGTAATTTCTTACCACATGAGCAGTTAATAGAAAATATTGGGTCTGCTGAATTGCTGAATTTTGTAATTACTATTACATATTTGACCTCCTTTTTTATAGGTTTCCTGCAGACTTTAATTATTGAAGCTTTGATATTAAAAAACAACAACAGTGAACAGGGTTTGCTTAACACCCCTGCTTTCCCCCTTGATATTGTCTAAAACACAAAGGACAGGTCTGACAACCATGCTAACATATACCCTGCCAAAATTAGGAGGCATGAAGGCACGAGGTGTTATTGACTAAATCATAACCGGAAAATGGTCAAGCTCAGGCACTGTCAGATTGTGGAGAGAGACACAGCAGACAGTCTCTGGCGTGTTCACTCCAGGCGTTAACAGGAGCGTATTTTAGCTAACCTTGAACTCCACAAGCTGTTCAGGAAGGTCAAGAAACTCTGTCAAAAATGGTGCTGAAGCTGAAGCAGCAACTACATATCAAACAGCTGCTTCAAGCTGTGGAACGGTGAGTATAACTACTTAACCTTTTCTATGCATAGCTATAATGGAGAATTAAAAAAAATAAAACACAGTCAATATAGATAGATGGAAGAAGTGGTGGGAAAATATATTCAGATATTAAAAACAAGCTATTAATCCTTTGAAAATTGGCCCAAATATTTAGAAGTATTTTAGCGTAGTACCTGCTAGCTTTTATTCAAATAAAATATACAGCAGATGAAGTTTCTGTTGTAAATTTCATGAAAGTGGAAATTATAATTCTGGGTAACATTGCATATTGCACATTCCATCAAAGTTATTTTTTTTATGGCCACAGTTTAAAGTTCTGTAATGCTAATGGAGAACTGACAAACTCATCAGCAAAGAGGCATAATAAAAACACCTATTCAAAAAAAAAAAAAAAAGAAAAAAATACCTCAATAAAATCCCCCCCCAAACCAGTTAGCAACATATAAATCCATTTTTTAATCTTCCACTGAAACAAAAAGAGCTTCCAAACACACAAAAAATGAGGCCTTTAAATTAAATTCACTAGATGAAGGATATGCAAATTACCTGAAGAAGCGGAGCCCTATAATGTTCTCAAAATTCTGCAATATCCTATTTAATTAGTATTTTAATTTATCAGAATAATTCTTTGCACTTGACAATTTATGCGGTATTCCATATAATTAAGCACGTAGCTACAGTGGAATAATTTTGCCTACTCTCTGTATACCGGTTATTTTAACCTGAAAGAAACTGTGGAAGTCTCTTCTGTGATCTAAATTACAATGGGGACAACTTAATGGCTTTGCTCTATTAGAGAGCATGACGAGGGTGTTACTGAGTGTTTAAGGATAGGAATTGTCACTGTTCAGTCTTCACTAACCTGAGGGAGGTCTGATGTGTTTTCTGAGGGCAAACGTTTATTTCCTTTAGCAAAATTATCTGTCAGTGGTGCAGTCAAGAATTTGAGCATGTAGTTTTGGCAAGTTTAACCTCGGAGTCCATCAGTTATAAGAAGCAGCAGGTTATAGAGAGCTCCAAGCTGACCTGCAGTCTCATTACAGCACTTCTGGAAGAAGGAAACCCTGAGAAATACGGGGATTACAAAGGTTTGCTACAAATACGATGCCAATCACAACTGCACCCTCCAGCTTACTCGTGGGAACACACTCTGGCACAAGCAAGATGAGCAAAAGGGTTTGAGCAAGAGGCTTCCTCAACCTGTCTCTCATGCTGCTGCAGGATTTACCTGCCCAAAGAAGAAATTGACCTTAAATATGAAAAGTCTTTGTGGGAAGATGATGTCACTCACAGGGAAACCTTGTTCTTCTGCTGTGTATCTGACTTTGAGGGTGTGTTGTATTTAATTAAATGTAGAAAAAAAAGTACTTATGAGTATATGATTACCCTGACCTCTATTACCTGCCCATTTTAGAATAAGATAATTCATGCCCTAGACTCACTAAGTATATTGACTGGACCTCCAGTCAATAAAGTGATGGAGGGCAATTAATTCAGATTTACTGTAGGCTGCCAGGTGAATTCTATGACTGCCGTCTTTTTCCCATCAGCTTGTTGCAAAGCTCCTTTTATAGAGCCAAATTCAGAAGAATTTAATTTATTTTCCCCTCTGAGGAAGGGAAAGAGAAAAGCAGGAAGGGCAGCCCATGAAAACGCATCCTCATATTTTGGCTCTCTCCCTGCTGAGAAGAGCACAGTCCCAGAGAAAACCAGCTTTTGCACAGTCAGTGCACCTCCTGAAACTGCTGAGGCATTCACAGCACTAAATGAGAGTGGGACAGAGAAAAACCACACTGTTGACTCAGCGCCCTCTAAGCCTTTTCCCTATAAAACAACTCGATTTCACAGCAGTTTTTCTCACCTCATTCACTTTCCTCTTTTTTAAGTACCTAAAAAAGTATTTTAATGGACTCAGAATTAGATACTTGTGTACAACCATGTTCAGAAGTCTAGACTTTCCGGAATATAAGACAAGGTCTCCTTGTCTTTGTCTACAAAGGGTGGTGTCAGAGATTCTGTGCCCAGCCCCGGGAACTTCCTCCAGGGGCTACAGCCTTTGAATCTGTACCTCTGTCCTGGTAGGAACAACAACAGATTGCAATTCAAAAACGCAACATGGAGCATTCAAAATGCATCAGTTGAAACCAAAATGACTAACTCAAGATAAAGTGAGAAGAAGGGTGCCTTTACTAAATTTTTCAATGCAATCAGTGAGGGACAAGTACCCAAGTTGTGGGCAAAAGGTATTTTGTCTTCCAATCTTTACAGGGTGATGGCACGAGATAGTTGTTTCATGTGTAATTTCTAGTAAACTGGCAGCCAGGCCTTG